CGCCGCGCTGTCGCCGCCGCCCTCGCCGCTGCAGGCGGCCGAGCCGGCCGCTCCCGACGCGGAGCCCGCGGGGGAAGAGTGCAGCTGGGCCGGCCTCTTCTCCTTCCAAGACTTGCGGGCTGTGCACCAGCAGCTGTGCTCGGTGAACTCGGAGCTGGAGCCCTACCTGCCTGCCTTCCCCGAGGAGCCCTCGGGCATGTGGACGGTGCTGTTCGGCGCCCCGGAGCTATCCGAGCAGGAGATGGACGCTCTCTGCTACAAACTGCAAGTTTACCTGGTCCACAGCTTGGATACCTGCGGCTGGAAGATCCTTTCGCAGGTGCTCTTCACCGAGACTGACGACCCCGAAGAGTATTACGAGAGCCTGAGTGAGCTGCGACAGAAGGGGTACGAGGAGGTGCTGCAGCGGGCCCGCAGGCGAATCCAGGAGGTGAGGCTACCGCAGGGTCCAGATATCTCCGCCTTGGTGTTACCTTTTCCTTGCTTTGTGACAAAGCTTTCAGAATCTTCCTAAGAAAATGAGGCTTAACCTCTCCAAGGTCTCTAGGACCAGGATTAAAGAGGGTGCAGATTTCCCTAGTCATCTAACTGTGGCTCAGTACTCTATTCTGTGCATTCAGATGTACATGTTTGCGGACACGTAGCTGATGGATTTGGCAAGGTTTTGCTCCCACATTTTTGTTCTTGCAGTGCTTTGCACCAGGATGTGTTGAGGTCTGAATCGTTCTGTTTAGTGGGAGCAGCAACATGTGGTGTTTATTTTGACAGTACAATTTAGGCACTCGAGGCCAAAAATTTCTAGGTTCCTACAGGCTCTGGGTGCTGAATCTGGTGTTTCAAGTGAGGTGATGTTTTCCAGTGGAATTGGAGTAACTACAACTTTTGTTCAGCTTGTAAGTTCTTAGAGTTGGGACTTTAAAAAGCAAGCTGTCTGGTCCTCGTGAGTATTTACTGCGTTGCCATTGCTGGTGTCTGGCAAGACTTGGATGTTTCAGGACACGCCATCTCTCTTTCTCATACCATACACTGTTTAGACAAAAGTAGTTGAGGTTATTCTACTAACTAACTTGTAGCATCAGTGTGTGAGAATTTTTTCACATCTTTGTGACTGACGTATAGGAGAACGCAGATTTCCCCAGCGTAAAAGGAGAATTTTATGCTTGTTTTTATGTTTCAGTATGTTGGTCCAGAATATACCACCAGGATCTATCTAGGTGTGACTATGTGTATGATTCAGGTTATGGAATTTTTTAGTTTTGGAAACACCACCTAAATTCTGTTGTATGGGTATAGGTCAAGTTTGGCTGCTTCAGCTGCCTGCATATATCCTACTGATGTTGTGTGCGCAAAAATGTGTGGTGGCGAACATTTTTTCCTTGGTGGAGTATGAGCATATCTGCTTGCTGTCTGTTTGGATGACATAGTATTGAGTCTTTGTAGGATTCAGGCTGAGCTTTTTCTTAGTGACTGGAGTTACAGAGTATGAGAAAATTGTTTTACCAATGATGAAATCACAAGAGCATCCAAGTGTAGCGTTGTCAGGTAAAAGTTTATTTCCAAACTGTTGTGTTAGGTTATATCGTCGTGATTTTTCTTTTTTCTTCATGGCTATTTAAAAGGCTGAATTCATCCTCGCTATTTTTGGTATACAACTAGTAATTAGTCTAATAGTCTTCCTGCAGTAGTTTTAGTCCAGAGCATATGAAAAGTATGTTGTCTTCTGCTTTTTTGTTTGACTGCATGAATGCTTGGGAGCATGTTCTTGGATTGACTTAGCCTTCAGCTCAGCAGTTTTTATAAGGAGCTGAGCATGACAAGAGAAGGTCCTGTTAAACATGTGGAGTTTGGGAACTGGGTACCTAACTCAAAGCACGTGGTGTTTGTGAGGAAACACTAATTTGGAATTACTGAGCAAGAACTATTTGTTTCTTGGAGAATCTCAACTACTATTTTGTTAGCACCAGTACTACTGGCAAAAAAGAAACCAGTTATCAATAGGCAATGCAAACTTGATCCATCAAGATCTCTAAACTACGTCATCTCGTTCTCTGTTAATGTTCAGAACTTGGTGCAGACAAAATGGCAGAGCCCATGTGTGTATTTGACTACATACAACCTTCCTTTCCCATGGTAACGAATCCACTAGTGTACCTAAAGTCAGTACAGCTGTACTTCTGTCACTGTCAGTTGTGTAAGTTGATCCTTCTTTAATTAAAGGTAGTTCATGTTTAAGAAAAGAAACCAATAGAATGACCTGCTCTTTCCCTCTTGGCTCTCAGATTTCTCTTTTCCTTACCTGTTATTCGTTTACTTGGTCCACAGGAAATGTCTTTCTTTTAAGCAAATACTGAAATTGTTTGTCATTGCAATTCTAAGGAAATGAAGCAATGGATGATGGGTGCTGCTTGGTATTTCTGAAATAAGGTTTTTCATACCTTAAAGAAAACCTACTGAATCCATGTTTCATCTCGCACTTCAATTTACTTTTCCACTGTGCTTAAAGTCTTCCGGTTAGCTGATTCTGCCTGTTAGCTGATTGAAGGAATGTTGAATGGCTGCAAGTTTAAACAATTTTACCTCTTACAAGAAATTTTGGGGAAGAGGGGAAGTGATTGAGCAGCACTGGTAACCAAAATGGTATCTAAGAGCATAATGAATATGGAGGGTCTTTATTAATGTAAAATTGTGCAAAAACCAAGTTTAGAACAGTAAGACCTTGGCTTAACATCTTAAAATATGCCTCTACAATTTATAATTATTTATTTCATCTCTCTCTTTTTTCCAGGAGAGATTCCTCTATGCAGTTAGAATATTACTTGAGAAATGCTTGCAGTTTCTGTTGATTAGATTCTTTGGGGTGGAGAAGCAAAGTGAGCAACAAACCTCTTGTGTTAGTTGTTTCAGCATCCCCTACTTGGCCATCTGTTGCTTTCCATAAGTTACACACAAGCCAGTTTATTTTCACAGCAGTTAATAATTGTTGCTTTTTGTAATAGTCATTTTTATCTCTGTCTCAATTATAAACCTTTAATAAGCCAGAAGAATGTTGCAAGTAGAAACATATCCAAGATGAGGAAGAAAAATAGTTGTAGAGGAACTGTGTGACCTGGAATGAATTTCTTCTGCATAACTTGCAGTTTTGAAATAGCACATCTTCTATTTTTTCAGATAAAACTATTAATTCTGGAATAGTTTAGGAATTTAATTTATGTTAACTTATGTTAAAGTAAAAACTGGTATCTACAGGAACAAATTCTGTTCCACCTCATTTTTGAAAACCTTTTAACGCTTGTTTGGAGCCCTTGTTCATTAAGTTTATGCCTGTTTAAAAAATTCCTTGGGTGCTCACTTATAGGTCTAAGCTCCCAAATGGAGATGTGATATAGAATCAGTTAATGCCAGCTAAAAAGATGTTGTTACTTCAACAGAGAAGATATCACTGAATCCTTATTTGGGATTCCAGCTTCTTGGCCAGTATTTCCAAAATTTCAAACTTTGCTTATAGAAGGCAGAAGTTCACCTCTGTACGCTTGCTCCTGCCAGTTTCCTGTCTATGTTCCTCCTATAACATGGAAGGAGTTTTCCTAGGCTAAGTGTACATGCTTATAAATTTTTGTGAGTATAGTAATATCAAAGATGGCGTCTATCTCTTTGTCAGTGCCATGTTGGCAAAAGGTTGAATGTAGTCACAGTTTTCCTATGATTAAGAGGGTTTGGTGGTTTAGTCATGCCAACAAACATACTCCATTGTACGCTTATCCTTTTACTTGCTCTTGCATAGTGATTTGTGAGGTTGGGAAGCCTGTCTTTACATTGCATGCCTACTTCAGCATCTTTGAATTAATGGCACCTGTGAATCTCCCTGTCCCTTCTAGCTCTTAATTGGTATGGCAGTCTGAAATTTGGTGGATGATAGTCTATATGACCTTGAATGCCAGTCATAAAACTAGTCAGAGGCTTGCTTTTGTTTTCTTGTTGCTCTATAAAATCTATGAATTCTAGTGTCTGCATGCAGACTGTTAAAGACCATTTTGCATCTCTATTCTGTGTGTGTTCTTTTGAATTGCTTTGATACAAAGTTCAGAAACACTTTTTAGTGCACAATTAAATCCTGAAGAATTCTGTAGCTATCTCAAGACTGACTTGAGATTGAGGACCTACTGCTATTTTTAATCTCCTTCCCCTGTATAGTGGAATATTTTACTAAGCACAAGAATAGCCCTGAAAACTTTTATCTTGTGTTGGTTGGCTTAATTTTCTTCTGATTCAAAAGGCTGGAAAGGCTAAGGAAAAATAAGAATCTTTTATCTATTTTGTTACAGTAACAAATTATATGAGAAGAAAATGTAGGGGTTTGGCAGAAAGCTGTGTGGTCACTTTATTTTCTTCTTACATCAGTATGGATACAATTTTTTTTTAAATTACTTTTGCACAGCTTTAGTAGGCAAGTTTTTTTGTTTTGAATGAATGAAATATGATTGTCACATCACACAAATTGGTAAGGAATTGGTTGAGTTATAAATCATGGAATTTCACATTTGTTGCTTTCCAAGGGTGTTATCACGTATTTCTGTTTACATTAAAAAAGCTAAATAATATCTGCAGGTTGTTCTTTGGTTTTGTTGAATCTGTTCTAATATTTTAGTGAAGAATAATATTCTGGATCATCTTAGTAACTAGGAGAATTTTATTTCCTTGCTTTTGGCCATGTGCGTTCACTTCCAAAATAAATGTGTGTATAGTAGGTAGTGGGGCATTGTACCAAAAATATGAGTTTTCCAATGATAAGGTGACCTTTTGCTGTTCAATGATCTACTGCTAGGCACAATGTGATTTAAAGAGAGATTCAACATCCAACTTGAAAATAATGCAAAAGTAAATAATACAAAACACTACAAAAAAGTATTAAGTGTTCCAGTAACACAAAAAAATGTTAGCAGTAGTGTTTCTATCAAAACCAATGTAACATCTTTCTATACAAGAAGCAAAGAAGACTGAATCCTGTATATTAACTGCAATATATAGATTTAGAAGATACATAAGGTGTCTGAGGAAGGAAGGGAACACTGGTTCAGGTTTAACTTTGGGAGCACAGAGGATTAAAATAAAATATATTGTGGATTTTTTTTTTCCTGTTGACATGAACAGAGCAGAGCTAAGACTAATGCTGAGCGTTCTGGAAATCCAAGCTATTTTTGTCTGAATGCTGCTTTTTTTATGTACTCATTATTTGTAGTGTTAACGCTTGTTTCCAGTAAAACTGTTGTGATTCACTTCTGAATACTTTGTAAATAGGCTATTTAAGTACTGAACCAATACTGTAAGTTAGTACTAACCAAAATATAGTGTGTCAGCAGCTGTAGGGCATGGTCTGTAGAACAGGCAAGTAGCCTCCAAGTTCTTAGGAGACAACTACAAGATTATTAGTAC